AGAGAGAGAGAGAGAGAGAGAGAGAGAGAGGGTCTGAAGAGAATAATCGACAGTGGATCCGCGTTAGCTACCGAGGATGAAAGGCAGCAGCATCCGCGAAGCTCGTGGTGCACAGGAATACATTGCGCTTACATTTCTATTCGACGACGTAGACGCGAACGAGGACATGGACATCGACGTGAAGTGATGCTGCGCGACGATCGATGACACGCTCATGACAGCGAGTTTGAGTGATCCGCGAATTCGATCGTATAAAGCGAGAGGTGATAAGCCGGTTAAACCCTGTGAATAGTGGATTCTGTAAACGATTATAACGATCGATTGAGTTTCGGGGGATCTCACGATTGATCTTGCGGTCCGATCGATTTTAAGCTACGACGATGGACCGAAATACGTGCGAGCGATAATTCTGGTACCAACGATAATCGGTTTAATAATTCTGGTATTTCTCTGTTGGATCGATGATGAAATAATCGCGCGTGTCGTGATTCTCCTCGGATGCAGCAGGTAATTACCTGTGTAATATAAACCTAAGTAGCAAAAGAAGTATATTTATCAAATTATAGAGAATTAATCTACAGAAATATATTTATTCAATTATATATATATGAACTTGTGAATGAACTTATGTGATATGCAGGAAATTATTTACAGTTCCAATTTCACTTGGCAAATGTTGCAGCAAATCACTGTTTTCTCTGGAAAAACCGAGGAAAAAACTTATAGATATATATAAAAATTGCTACATGAATTTTTAATTAAATTAAAGAATTGATATCGATTAAGTGAAAATCTAGACAGTCTATTGAGAATAGATTCTGTTAAGTGTTTACTACAAATTTTGTTGACAGAAAGTCTACGGATTTGATACAGTATCCGACACAGGATATTCAATACTTACTCTTGCTAGAATGCTGACAAAAATATAGTAAAGTTTGTCAACAAGACGTGAGAACTAAAATCATGTAGGCTACGATATATTTGTTATATAGTTTGACATAGATCGGCAGCAGAAATAGAGTAGAATCTGCGTTCGACGGATTTTGCTCGGTTTCTGCCGCCAATTTGCTGTCATGTTATATCATCAAGCTTTCTCGGCAAAACACGATTTTAATGCGAACGTAGTTCATACCAATTTGCTTTGTTCATAACAATTTCTAATTGAATTTCCTGCCAATCTGTTGACATTTACAATTAAAATCCACCATGTATTATGTATTTCATTTCTATTGATTCGCGATTTAATACTATTTGTACAATTCTATTGTTTATTTAATTTTTATATATGGTATAATTCCAATAAAATAAATTTAATCAACTATTAATTAATAAAGTAACTACGAAAAAAATAATATTTTACGTGATATTGAAAATATTTTTAAATACTTGTATGGGTATCTATATTATTAAAGATATCACATTTACGAAATATTTCCTGTCGTCAATTTAAAACTCGAGACTTAATAAAGACAATTTCCATTCTCCGGATGGAAAAAAGTCGTTTCTTCATTATTTACGGGTAGTATAAGGTTTCGTGACTAACAAGTTATTCTTCATCTTCATTACCCCGGAAAACAACTTTATCAAAAGTACGTAATATTGTCGGATATATTTAACGCACTCTTTTTATTGTTTAACGCGAATGTCATGTCATAGATGCGAAAGTGTAACTTCGTACGTGTGTAATCTTTGAATAGGAAGTGAATAAAGCACGAGGTTGAGACACACAGGCGATATGTAGAGCGTGTTATACGCGATTTTATTTCGTTCTTATTTTAATGTATTGTATGTATAATGCTTTATCGTATTAGCCATATTTCATTATGTTTTACTCTTCAATCAGATTAATCGAGCATGATAACAGAATTACATTTAGTTTTTAATCACTTAATTTACTGTAGTCGAAAATTTCAGAAAAAGAACGTGATTTTGATTGCTTCAGATAGCTTGAAGACACAAATAGCTTCATAACTCTTTCGATTAACGATATTACACTATAAAATTAGCAATAGCATTACAACATTAACGTAAATAATTAGCAATAAAATACTAGAGTTAAAGGTGCAATAATTTTTATTACTTTTTCTGCAGAGAACGATAATACATCATGTACTCGTTATGAAAAGATACAAGTCAGTGCAGTGTAATGTTTAGAACCAATTGTCTGTTTTTGTCTTGTTGATAAAAAAAATAGGGATCTCTCTCAAATTTAATTCTTATATATATATTTTTTTTTTTTAATTGAAATGAAATTTAATTAAATTTTCTCTGAGTATCAAATACGCATCCTTAATAGCACAGTTTATTCGAGGGACATTCTGACGTCGAACATTCACAGAGAAATCCTCTATGAATGTTCTTTGGGACGTCCTTTGGAGATCTGTGCTATTAGGATAAGCCTTCTTGTAGGATAAGCCTTTCTGGTTTTCCTCTTTATTACTCGTTGGATTAGCTTTTTCTCCCAAGAAGATAAAGAACTTATTATAGACGCGAAGACTATTACCACAGGATTTCCGCGTGTGTCCCGTTTGCGTAGAACACACTGGCTACGTTCGAAAACGTCGCTCGGATGCCTCCGATGCCTCGGATTCATCATCTGTCCTTGTTTAACATCTAATGTTATGATGATGAATTCGAGGCATCGGAAGCATCCGAGCGACGTTCCCGAACGCAGCCACTGCGTGTATGGATACGCATGAAAGCTATATGCAGGGTTAAGGATAGTGACGAGCAGGCAGGAAGCGTGCAGAAAAGGTGTGTTGACGGATGTTCTTCCTTTCAACTATGATTGTAGAACGGTGGCGGTGGCGGCAGCAAGCCGGTTACGGGGATGCCGAGGGAATGCGAGGATACCGCGAGATGACGTTCTCCATCACGCTCGTCGTTCACTGACACGATCCCAACCGGATAACGAAGACGATTGGCAGGATGCTGCCGCGCGGGTTGCCGATGATCGTCCTCTTCCTCGTGCAGCTGCGTCATCGTGTTATCTGGTGAGCACCATCATTTTAATCTTCACCCTATGGAAAATCGTGGGGAATAACAAGACTTGCATTCTCATTGTGTTCTACTTGTAAAGCACACGTGACACAAGGGATACGGTTTTGATTTCGGTAGATATGATAGGGAAAGCTTTTTCATAAATGTGGCATAAATTTATGCCTTTAAATTGAAGAGTACGATGCCAAATATAAAATTTCTATATTAATAATATGTATACATATATAAACCTAATTTTTTAAATATACATTATTAAAATGATATAATTTTTTTCTCTTCCGCGAATCTTCATGTAATTAAAGCACTACAATGTATTTTAATAAACGGTGGTTTAATCAGCATGGCACAGCTGAAACCATTATAGATATTTCACTGGTTGGAAAAGTGAATCTTCAACTCGTTTGTTCAACGAATTTTAAACTATTCTTAAAATCGTTCAATACAATAATTTACAGCGTGATTGTCAAATTTAAAATGCAATTTGAATATCTTAATGATAAATTATATTAAAATATCACAATTCTCAATTAAGATTATACACATGTAGTAAAGAAAAAATATATACATAGAAAAATTAATCAAATAGATATAAAAAGAAATTAGATTCAAAGGGAAATAATTAGATACTTGAATTAAGCTTGACGTGCGACATATGTGATTGTTCGAGCAATTAGCACTCCAATTAGTCCGCTGTATACGAGGAGAAACAATAAAGCTGCATTTTCCGGGCAAAAGACGAACCTGATAATTTTTTCCGAACAACGCTGCATACAAAATCGAAGAGTAATCTTCTCCAAATACTAATTTTTCCTCAAAGTAAAAAATATTATGATCGCGAGTACAATGACCGCTATGGACCAGATCAGATCGACAGTTCCCGAATTGGTTAGTGGAAGTAAGTTCTTCAGCCGTTCTATTATTTCCATTTTACCTCTGGATTTCTTCGACGTTTATACGTATTATAATTTAGATATTTTATTTCTTGATTGTGCGTATTTCTTGCGCCATTGTATCACACGTATATCTACACATACGATATTTATTTGCAGTTTGTATAAAAATATAATGTGCTAATTTTATGTAAAATATTAGACCAACCTTGAATAAATGATTCATCTTTAGGCCAGGAATAAACGTCTTGGATTTTGTTCACCATCAAATCATGTTTAAAATAAACGAATATCGAAGATGTGAATGTTTGGAGCATACTTCAAAATGTGAAACTTTTGTTTAAAAAATTGAAATCTTGATGGAACTATAAGACAAATTTTCGGAACGCTCATTTATCGATGAATATTTTTGAAATTCTATAGTACATATATAAATATGCGCTAATATCGTTATAAACGCACATTTAGTATATAGTTCTAAATACATACCTAAATTTTGTCAATATAATAATAATATTTATTATTATTCACGATATTCATATAATCAATATATATGAATAATTATATATATTCATATTATTTATATAATAATAAATATACGTATATAATCATTATATTAATTTATAATACTTTAATTAATTGGAAAATATGTAATATTAAATTCCATTTATAAGATATTTTCGAAACTATTTCACAGTCATTTTAATATTCGTTTGATAAATTTA